GAGTTAGAAAGCATTATTGTTGTTGTTGTTAAGTGCCATCGAGTCGGTTCCGACCCATAGCGACCCTGTACAGGGTTTCCAAGGGTGTAAATCTTTACGGGAGTAGAAAGCCTCATCTTTCTCCCACGGAGCGGCTGGTAGTTTTGAACCGCTGACCTTAAGGTTCGCAGCCTTATTAGGGAAGGTTTTATAAAGTAAGGACTCACTGGTGGTGATGGTGGTTATGTGCCGTGGAGTTGGGTCTGACTCATAGCGACCCTGTATAGGGTTTTCAAGGCTGTAAATCTTTACAGAAGTGGAAAGCCTCGTCTTTCTCCCACGGAACTGCTGGTAGTTTCAACTGCTGACCTTGAGATTAGCAGCCTGACTTGTAACCATTACACTACAGAGCTCCTTAAGTACTCCCTAGGTGATGCAAATGGTTAACACACTTGACAGGTAAACAAAAAGTAAGAAGTTTGAGTCCACCCACTGGTAGTGTAGTGGTTACGAGTTGGGCTGCTAACCTCAAGTCAATAGTTTGAAACTACTAAGGCTTTCTGCTACCATAAAGATTTACAGCCTCAGAAACCCTATGTTATTATTGTTGTTAAGTGCCATTGAGTTGGTTCCGACCCATAGCAACCCTGTATAGGGTTTCCGAGGAGCACCTGGTGAGCTTGAACCATTGACCATGCAGTTCAAACGGCTTTGCAGTCTGGAGCATTAACCCACAGTACCACACCAAGACTCCCAGAAAGCCCATACAGAGTTGCTATAAGTCAGAACCAACTCCACGGCACACAATCAACCAAATAATCAACTATAACAGCATTGTGCTGCTAATTCATAGACTTAGTTATGCACAACATGCATAACAGTCGTGTGTCATCTTCATGACTAAGACTATTGCTCCAGACTATTGTTGTGGCCAGTGTGTGATGATCTGCTTTTGAAAAATCAGTCCTTGAAAACTGTATGAAACACAGTTCTACTCTGACATTATGAAGTTGCCATTGGAATAGAGCCAATGTCAGTTGGTTTAATGGTAGGCTGATGGTAGGCTTTACAATATTCCAGAGAGTTAGATATGGCAGGGAATATGCATATTGGATTCAGTGTGGGAAGAGTGTTTAAGCACTCTTGTCTGGATCCTCGACAAGACTTCACAGTCTTGTCACTTCACAGTCTGGATCCTCGACACAGATTGGATAGATGTGAAAGGCTTAAGGGGTTTAGGACTAAGTCACTGTACTTTCCTATAATGATGTTGCTAATTGACTGAAGTTTCTCTCAATTATGAGCTATAGTCTAATGGTAACTTCTATTCCAAAAAATGAATACAAACCAGTTTTGCACACTTTACAATACTTACACTATATCCCATAAACTATTTTCTTTCACTATGTACTATCCATTTCCTTAAGACTAGAAGCCCCAGCTTTTTCTTGTTTATTCTCCATTGCAAGGTCTTTGCTGTGAACCTTGGTTTTGCCATCTGCTTGTCCCTTTAGAACTTGACAGTCCTACCTTCTCTTTTGTTCTGGCCTGCCCTTCCTTGAGATGATGGTAAGGGCTCTTTTTATTCTGTGCTCAATCCTGTCTACCAGGCTTTCTTGCTTTTGATGTTTCATCATCTTCAACCATAGCTTATACAATGAAAGGTGGAATAAATTCTTTTACTGGCAACTTTAATATTCAGGTACAATAATCCAAGAGTATAAATCATTCTCTATTGAGAAGACAATACCAGATTCCTTCCATTTTAATCTCTTTTGTGGTAGAATTATGGTGGACATTTGTCACCTTTATTACCTAAAGGACACTATTGGGTCTTCGGTGACAATGTGTCGTGTGCCCTATCTTAGTTATCTTGTGCTGCTATAACAGAAATATCACAAGTGAATAGCTCTAACAAACAAAATTTATTTTCTTACTGTTTAGGAGGCTCGAAGCACAAATTCAGAGTGCTGACTCTAGAGGAAGCCTTTGCTCCGTGTCATCTCTAGGAGAAGGTTCTCGTTTCTTCAGTTTCTTCCTCCTAGTTCCTTGGAGATCTCCATTTGTCTTGGCGTCTATCTTACCCCATCACTACTTTGCTGCTTGTTTCATCTCTTTTAAATCTCAAAAAATGTTGATTGAAGATCCACTCTACCCTAAATTTGCCTCATTAACGTAGCAAAGACAACCCATTTCCTAAATAGGATTATAACTACAGACATACAATATATATTTTTGAGGATATAATTCAATCCATAACATGTTCCTACTGTGGAACTTGAGGAATTTCATGGGCTCAGAGTCAGTCTCCTGGAAAATCACAGTGTCGTGCTTCTCCACTTAGAATCATGTGCATGGATGACAGTTCAGAACTTGACTGGGATATGGAGGCAGACCTGGTCCCTTACCTGGAGATAGGTCAAATATTCGAAGGAAAGTGGTTCAGAGAAGCTCAGCTTCCCTCTGAGCATTACACAGGGCATCAGGGAGGAAATGAGGAAAGATCACTTAAGATTTTAGCTCCCAATCTAAGGACATTCTCCTAGTTAAGGATGTGAGCATTTTCATATCATGGGGGAAGCTCAGGTTTGAAACTGCTATCACTGGGTGTGTGTACATTCTCCAAAGCCGCCTGGTGCAGGGACAGATTTTCTGGAGTGTGTTTCAGTGCTTCCTCTCGGATCCCAGCTGGAAACAGTAGAGAAAAATCCTTCCTTTTAGAAATATGACTGTCTTCCCTGCTGGGGGTGAGAATGGCCTGAGAGAGAGAGGTCACCAGTTAGCTGGTGAGCCAGATTGGAATGTTGTATGTATATGGAGGGATTTAGTTTGGACAGACTTTCAAGACAGGAATGTGAATTACACAAGGAACACAGACAAATCTCAGAGTTAAATGGTGTTCTTCACTTATTTATGTATTATGTAAAGGTGGTATAAAAGAATTTGAATACTAATCATTATCACTGTTCTTCTTGTTGCTAAGTGCTGTTGAGTCAGTTCCAACTCAAAGAGACCCTGTGTAGGGTTTCCAAGGAACTGATAGTGAATTTCAACCACCAACCATGCAGTTCAAACCAACCTTGCCTTCCAGTGCTTATCCTGCAGTGCCACCAAGAGCTAATATTTATTCAGTGTCACTTACTAGGTAGCAGAGCTGTTATAAGCATTTTTCATGTGTTTTGCCACTTATCTTTACAACATCCCTATAAGATTACAGATCATGAATAATAATATTCTTCTGAAAAATGGAAGACTTAAAATGGTATCATTGTGGAGCTCCTGGGTGATGCAATTAGCATGTTTGGCTGCCAACCAAAAGGTTGGAAGTTTGAATCCACCCAGAGGCAACTTGGAAGAAAGTCCTGGTGATGTACTTTGGAAAAATTGTTGTTGTTAAGTGCCACCAAGTCAGTTCTGACTCATAGCAACCATGTACAGGGTTTCCAAGGAGTGGCTGGTGAGTTTGACCCGCCAACTTTGTGATGCAAACCAATCTTGTGGTCCAGTGGTTTCTGCCACAGCACTACACCAGGACTTTTGAAAACCCTATAGAGTGCAGTTCTATACTGACGCCCATGAGTTGTTGGTTTTGGTCTACCTGGACAATACTGAGAACTGCACTCTAGCCCATGACCAGGGTTTCTGTGATTTAGTGCAAGACTTCCTTTCTCAATCCATGATTTCCAAGAACCAAACTAAGGTGATGGGGTAGTATGAGTGGGTGGTGCAAACAAACTTTTTCAGAGGCTCCACCCTCCCCACAGAGCTGAGTGTCTTTATGACACCTCCCTCACCCTTTGGCAGGTCCAGACATCAAAATGAAGACAGAAAACTATCTTCTCAAGGAGTCAGGAAAGAAAACATGACCAACATTCTTATTCCAGAGGTGGCAAACAGCTTCTTTTCCAAGGCAGAAGCAGATCTGGAAGGTGGCTCCAGTCATTTCAGAGAGTCTCTGAGCAAACTTTGGAACATTTCTTACAAACTCATTAATCCACATTTCAATTCTGAGAGAAAGCTATTCTTACTCCTGTTCATAGATAAGGAAATTGAAATGCAATTGGGGCAACCCTAGACCCCACCCTTCTCTTGTGTAACCTCGAGTTGGACCCTTAGCTTCTCTGGGCGGATCTCATTGGACTCACCTATAAAGTAAATGATATGTTGCCCGCAGATTGGTTCCAATTCACGACGACCCCATGTGACAGAGTAGAACAGCTTGCTCCATAGAAGCAGATCACCAGGATTTTCTCCTATGGAGCCGCTGGGTAGGGTTGAACTGCCCACCTTTAGGTGGTGGTTGTTAAGTACCGTGAAGTCAGTTCCAATTCATAATGACCCTATATAGGGTTTCCAAGCAGCGGCTGGTGGGTTTGAACAGTCAACCTTACTGCTAGCAGTTCAGTGGTTAGCCTACAGCAGCATACCAGTTACTAAGTGCTGTTGAGTTGGTTCCAACTCATAGCAACCCGGTATAGGATTTCAGAGGAACTGCTGGTGGGTTTAAACCACCGACCTTGTGATTAGCAGTCCAGTACTTATCCTACAGTGCCACACCAGGACTAATTTAGGTTAATAAGAAGCACAAACTGTTTGCACCCTCTAGGGACCTACCATAAAATAAATGCTTGTTATGGCATTTCCTCTTCAATGGCTTGACTCCTTCACAGCTGGCATTTCTGCATATGCCTGAAAGAGTCCCACATGCCTAATTCCTGGCACCCAACCACCCACTCCCTACCTACTCTTCTCTCTGTGGACCCAAGACTATAGATCCAATAAACAGAATCACTGCTTTGGGTAGAAGTCCAATTCTACCCTACTGTCCAAACTTCCTCCTCTGTCAGAGTAGCCAGCAAAGAACTATCAGCTTTGCATAAGGGTGAGCTCTCTGGGGAATTGAGTCAATCAGCAATCCCCACAGTTGGGACTTCCTGGGAAGCTTCCCAGGGCCACTGTGCCAGCTCAAAGAGAGATTGAAGAATGACGCTGGATTTTCTGTCTCTTCCTCTGTCTTACAGGAGGCTCTGTCGGTGGTGAGCGACGACCAGTCCCTCTTCGACTCCACTTACGGAGCAGCGGCCCATCTCCCTAAGGCTGACATGACTGCCTCAGGGAATCCTGACTATGGCCAGCCTCACAAAATCAATCCCCTCCCACCGCAGCAAGAGTGGATTAATCAACCAGTGAGGGTCAGCGTCAAGAGGGAGTATGACCATATGAACGGGTCCAGGTAAGGCATCAGGCCGCCTCCAGGTGGCCGGGTAGGCTGAGGCATGCTCCTTACACTGTAGCAGATGAGTATCAGTGCTGGGCAGTCAATCTCTATATAGTTGAGATGAGAGAGGCTACATTGTGGAGCAGGGATAGGAAGCTACCTGCCTCTCTGGGCCCCTGGGTAGCCTTTAGAGGGAGTCCTCGTGTGGTGTTGTAGGATAATCAGTGGACTACTAACCACAAGGTAGGTGGTTTAAGCCCACAAGCTGTTCCTTGGAAGCCCTGTATAAGGTTGCTATGAATTGGAATCAACTCTATGGCACTTAACAACAATAACAACAACAGACCCTATTAGGGGAACACTCGATAGGATAAGTACCACTAGGCTGGAGGATCAAGCCCATCAGCCACTCCAAAGGAAAAAGATGAGGCTTTCTGCTCTTACAAAGACTTACAACCGTGGAAACCCTATGCAGGGTTGTTATGAGTCAGAACCAACTCAATGGCACTTAACAACAGCAACAAGATCCTACTGAGATACTGTGGAACACCTATTTGGTGTAAGGCACATCACATCTTGGAGATGATTTAGAGATAAGGTACCCTTCCCTGTCCTGTTGAAGATACTTAACTTCCATGGGTGGGTCTTATCAAAGATGACCCAAACCCAAACATTCTTTCCCTTTTGTGTGTGTGTATGTAGTAAAATTATACTAACACTAGCCACTCAACTCTTTTTTACATATATAAGTCAGTGACATTAATTATATTCAACATGTCATGCAACCATCCCCACTATCGGTTTCTAAATTTTTTCATTACCCTTAAGAGAAACTCAGTGCCCTGAAAGTAATAACTTCCTCTTTTCTCTGGCCTCTGTACATTTGCCTATTCTATTGTACAAATATTGTACAATATTTACCCTTTTGTGACTGACTTATTTTACTGGGCATAATGTTTTCAAGGTTCATCCAAGTTGTGGCTCATATCAGAATTTCATTTCTCTTTATGTCAGTGTAATGTTCCATTGTGTATATGTATCATATTTTGTTTAAACATTCATCTGCTAATGGGCATTCAGGTTATTAGTTCCACACTAAAGAATTCTTGTAGCAAAGGGTCAGAGAGTGATGAGAGAGGTGAAGCATTGAAGGCTTCCTGGGAGGAGAGACCACATACACGTGGAAAAGAGGCAATAGAGGAGAGGCTTCAGATAGAACAAAATCATAGTGAGGGTAAGTAAGAGCATAGCCTATGTGGATCTTACAGTTGAAATAGGCCTGAAGTACTTAGTTCCATGGGCTTATTATGGGTGTTACTTATGATCCTGTAGAGAAAGAACACTGGACAGTGTTGAGGATTTGGCAAGTGTTTGCTAGAAGTAGGCATGGCTACGTAGCGAGTTAAGGTTTGAAGAAGCAAACATAAGACTCATTCATGAAATATCTGGTAGTCCAATGAGCCTACAGCAAAGGGAGATGACAATGAAAAGCAGGAGAGGGCCTGAATGGCAGATTAAAAAATATAGAATGGTCAACTAGAGACCAACTTTAAGCCTAGATCTGACAGTTAACATCCTCAGTACTGTGATTTAAGATGCAGAGCCAAAAATCATGGTGTGTGGAGAGGATAGGGAAGGGAGAGAATTGGGATCAGAAAAATAAGCTAAGTAAAACCAAAATACCAAACTTGTTGCCACTGAGCTGATTTTGAATCATGGTGACCCCGGGTATTACAGAATAGAACTGCTACATAGGGTTTTGTTGGCGGTAATCTTTACAGAAACAGTCCTTTTTTCCATGGTGCTACTGTGTTGATCCAAGCCAGCAACCTTTTGGCCAACCATTGAGTGCAAACCAAGAAGTTAGTTAAAGGAGCAATAGCAAAGTTTTAAACTAGGGTGATGGTAATGATTTGGGAAAGAAAAAGGGATAGATACTTGAGAAACCTGTTAAAGAGATCATTAACAGGATTCAAGTGAATAAATATTGAAGTGTATTCGGGGTATGTGTGAAAAAAAAAAAGTCTCAAAGATGACTCTGAAGTCTGGCCATCTGGAAGAAGGATGGTGCTGTTGGCAGGCACAGGGATGTTGGGAAGAGGAAATGTTTCAAAAGGGAAGTCAGTGTTCCCTCTGAGATTTACTGTGAGCAATCAGCTAAATGTCCAGATGAAAATATCTAAGAGGCTTTGGAACTATGGGACTGACATTCAGATAGTGTTTTGGGGTTAGGATTTAGATGTGGGAGTACTGGTGGGGCACTAGGATAAGCACTTGACCATAAAGTCCATTTGAACAGCAAGGTCAGCAGTTCGAACTCACCAACTACTCCTTGGAAGTCCTATACAATGTCCTTATGAATCAGAACTGACTCAATGTCCTTATGAATCAGAACTGACTCAACGGCACTTACAACAACAACACATATCATCTATAAGGAGTTGTAAGTTGGTAAGTGAATGAGGTCACCAAAGAAACAAGTCTAGAGAGAAGAGTGGAGTTAGTGAGAGTGTAGTGGGAATGAGTCTCATCAAAGCAGCCCATGGTAGTTCCCAGCTGTTGTTGTTGTTGTTAAGTACCATGGAGTCGGTTCTGACTCATAGTGCCCCTGCACAGGGTTTCCGAGGCTGTAAATCTTTATGGGAGCAGAAAGCCTCATCTTTCTCCCACAGAACAGCTGGTAGTTTCGAACTGCCAACCTTGAGGTTAGCAGCCCAATCCGTAACCACTATGCTACTGCAATCCCACTAACCAAACTAGGGTCTAGGATCTCAGCCACCTTTCCAGATTCTAGAGTTTCAGGAAGGTTCAGATGTTTTAAACCAGGAACTACATAGAAAATCATGAGACAATTACAGCTGCTACCAGTTGTATACATTTCTCCCTGTTCCCTACCATTTTTTCCCTACCACCATCCTGAGATAGGCATTGCATTCCATGTTTACATGTAAAAGCACCATGGACTGTAAGGAGAACAAGTGACTGGTCTAAAGGGTTTAGACAAAAGCTAGCCACAGAGTCCAGGTTGCAATTACTGGCCTTGCATGCCATCCATCGGGTCCCACTCTACTCATCCCCATCTGCCTCCATATTGGATTTTTACATTCATCATCTCATTTCTGCCAATACCCATCCATGAGGTGATCTATTCAATAAGGATTCACAAATGGATCTGATAATAAGGAGTTCTTGGTGCTTATTGGAAACCCAAACTCCTCCTCCCTTGGAGGGTCACTGATGAGCTGTTTTCTGGATCAGACCACTTCTTATCACCATTATCTACCCCACTCCAAGCCAGCACATGTCTCCCCTTCTCTACCACTGCTCTAGGCGCCTGTCCTCATATTTTCTCTTGCCTTTCTGAAGTCAGTTCTCCATGTAGCAGCATTAGTAATCCTATGAAACTATTTCACTCTCATCTGTTCAAAATGCTTTAAAGATTTATGTCAAAGTTTAGAGCATCAACATCCCTCTGTGTCTTAGGCCAGGTTTTCTAGAGAAGCAAACCCAGTGAAAATATATATTTTTTTTTCTAGAGAAGCAAACCCAGTGAAAAAATATATATTATATATAAGAAAAAATATATATGTATATATATAAAGAGAATTTTATTATCTTACAATTGTAGAGTCCCAGGTCCTCAGCAGAAGATTAAGAGAGTCCCTCTTGCATGTCCATTATATCGAGAGCAGGGCACACCCCCAAGGAAACATCTCTTCAATTGATTGGCTGCTCATACCTGCTCACCATAGAGTTAACTATGCCTAGGTCTCATCACAAGGGGAATAAGCATATCTCAACTACGTTGCTAAACTTCTGGGAACCTGGTCTAGTCGAGTTGACACAGAACCCTAACCGTTACACTCTGACATTCTCTCTGTCACTCTCTCCATCTCACTCTGCTTTCCATACAAGTCACATTCCTTTCTTAGAGTCTCTTCCCTTGTCTCCATATGACACCAACTCGTCATGTTACTTACTCCCTCAGTTGTTTCAGATCTCTGTCCAGTTGACACAAATGCCACCTGACTGCCTGATGTACAAGAGAACCCCTTGTCAATCCTTAAGGGAGCCCAAGTGGCACAGTGGTTGAAGTGCTCAGCTGTTAATTGAAAGGTCCATGTTTTGAACACACCAGTCACTCTTTAAGAGAAAGATGTGGCAGACTGCTTCCGTAAAGATATATAGCCTTGGAAGTCCCATGGGGCAGTTCTACTCTGTCCTGTTGTGTTGCTATGAATTAGAATCAACTCGATGACAGTGGGGAGTTGGATTACTCCTTAGGTCTCTGGATGGCACCAATGGTTGTGTTTGGCTACTAATCTAAAGTCTGGTGATTTGAACCCACCCAGCAGTCCATAAAAGAAAGGCTTGGTAATCTAATTTTGTAAAGATTACAGCCAAGAATACTATATAGAGCAGTTCTTGTCTTGTATGTATGGGGTTGCCATGAGTCAGAATTGACATAAAACCAATGGGTTTTTGTCACTTCTTGCCCTGCTTTGATTCTTCTTCTTAGCTCTTAGCCCATCTACATTCCCTTGTTTGGTTATTGTATAGCTGTTTACTGCCTTTTTCCCTCACTGAAACGTGGACAGGTCTTAGTTTTGTTTACTGAGCAGTGCCAAGCACATGTTGTTGTTGTTAGGTGCCTTAACTCAGTTCTGACTCATATTGACCCTATGCCCAGTCCTTCACCATCCTCACAACTGGAGTTATATTTGAACCCATTGTTGCTGCCAATGTATCATTCCATCCCGTTGGGGGTCTTCTTTTTTGCTGACCCTCTACCGTACTAAGCATGATATCCTTCTCCAGGAAATGGTCTTTCATGACATCATGTCCAAAGTACACCTGATGAAGTCTCGCCATTCTCACTTCTAAGGAGTATTCTACCTGTACTTCTTCCAAGATAGATTTGTTGGTTCTTCCAACAATCCATGTTTCTTTCAATAGTCTTCTCCAACACCATAGTTAAAATGCATCAATTCTTATGTGGTTTTCCATATTTATTG